GGCCTCAGACAATGCACTAATCCCACTCTTCAACCTCGCAATTTCCTCTGCAATTTCTTCTTTCTCGTGGAGCTCCATACCGTACCTATAGCAGGCCTCAGCATAAAACAAGGCTGCCTTGAGCTGAACATGAGCCAGCCAACCCTTGTCAAAGTGGTAGTTCAGAGGTGCAACAGTTAATGCTGCCAAAGCTTCCTCGTAATAAATCCCTGCCTGTATTCATATGTGCAGTGCTCATTTTAAAATTAAATGTTGCATGTATTAGTGCAACGAGAAAATTCACCATCTTACACCAAAATAGCAGACAAATCAGAAAATGTCATTGCCAACATAATATCCAGAATGGGTTTTTTTAATATATTATCAAATATCAAGGATGCATTCGCTGAATCGTATGCAAGTCGAGTGTTTGTTATCTTCCATACAATCAAATAAAAGGTTGACTAAACTACAGAAAGTATGAAGTGGCAAAGGCTGAAATAAATAAGGTATTATAACCAATAGACAACCTGTCTTGAAATCTTTGCACAGACTCCAGGGGTGCTTCCCTTGGCAATAGTATTCTCAAAAACGCACTCCTGAGCCTGAGCTAGCATGAGTCTTTCCAACATCCCAGCACATTCCACTGACATGTCAACCGTGGTGGAGCTACCCATTGATGCCTTCATTGCCACATTGTCTCTCAGGAACGCAAAAGCCCCAGCTGCAGCAATAAAGGAATGTGATGCCTGCCTTCGCCCCTCCACAGCTGATCGATCCAAACTCAAACCCATCTGACTGTGCACTGCTCCCAAATTGAACAAAACTGCAGCTTTCTCTGCGGCAAACCAAAAAATAAAAAGCTAGATTACTAATATAGCAAGATGATACTAAGCATAAATTGACTTCTGTCAATTCATAAGATCGCCATATTATATTGAGAAGGTACATGTTTGAATTTTAATGATCATTTAGATATTGAAATGAGACTAATTATTAAATACCTTTGCTCTGTTTGGTTTTGGACTTTCTACTTATATAATCACTGCTGTCTACTAAACTAGATGTCCAAATAGAACGATAAGTTACCAGTGTTGCTAAAGGCTCACTTCAAGTGAGTTTAAGCCCTGAAACTCAGTAAGTCCAGGTTGTGCGCTTCGCCTCACTTAATTGGCGCTTTAGTGTAGGCGTCAAGGTGCTAAGGCATGTGCACTTCCATTGGTGGTGATTGGTTCTGTCTTAAAGTGCACAACATCATATATATAGCTTAAGTTTCATTCTTTTGTCCAAATAATTATTGTTAGTGTTTGCAGTTACATAATTTTTTGCTATTTTTGTTTTTCTCCATTGAGGCTTTGTGCTTAAAGCCCCAACAAACTTTAGCGCTTTTTTCGCTTTTCACTTTTGACTATGCTGTAATAGTTACTCTTCGAAAATATCAACTTTAGCAACTAACCAAATTATTTCAATGAAACTGATAGAGTCCATTAACTAATAACAGCATTTCTAAATAATCCGATCCAGTTTCCAGAATCCAAACCAAAAGGACCAACCTCCAAATAATCTCTTTACTATCTGCAACAGGCGATTAAAATTTTAATCTTTTTAAAGTTCAAAATCTTTTCAAAGTTTTAATATCTCTGGAGCAAGTTCCAACGTTATCCCAAATCCAAATTCCAAGATGCTTAATTCATTTGGAAAGGAAAGTAAGACCAATATATGTAGCAGCTTAAGATAAAGTACGACGCAATTCTAAGTTCTACTTCTGCATTATAAGTTGTACAATAAAAAAGAAGCAAAGGAGAAGGGAAGAAAAGAGAAAGTATGAACAATGTAGAAGCTCAAAGCAAGTGTGAAGCAATTCTAAATTGTAATTCACGCATCACCTATTGTAAGCATAATTTGAATTTTGAAGTCAAATGTACTTCAATATACCTAGATGAATATTCTGTTGCACAGCTTTCTGCTTGTTCTTGAACGTATCGTACCAAGTAAAAAACACGGAATTGATGTGATCTTTATCAGGTGAGATCGGAAAACGAGATTCAACAGCACAGAGGGCTTTATAGTAATTTTGCAGAATGTCACGGCGAGCAGGGAGCGAAGCGGCCGGAACGCGTTCGATTTCGGAGCGGTATTGCTTGAGAGTTTGGAGATCATCTTCGAGGTTTTGAGCTTCCCGTTCGGAGTAGTTGAAAGCGATGTAGTTTCGTAACGGACGGTAGAGATCGAGTGATACGGTTTTCTTCTCGAAGATTGCTAACATGACGTTTGTCGCCGCCGTTGACGACGGTGACGCCATGGTTTCCGGTGACCTTTGTGTAGCAGTGATGATTTCAATAGATAGAGAGTTTGTTTTTAGAGCTTATGCAATGAATTCAAGCGCGTATTTTGGTGCTATTTTTTCCCAAATTTTCCTTTTGTTTCCTTATTGTAAATTTTGACAATTTCTATAAATGTTGTTTACTTTCCATTTTCTCTTTTTCTCCACCTATAAATGTTGTTTGTTTGGTTAACATGAAAGGTGATATAAAATAAAGACTATAAAGTATTGGAGAAACTGATATACTATTTGAATTCAAATTGATATACATAATGAACCGAAAAGTAAGTTGCTTTATAAGCTGTTACTATATCAGATATGGATAATATTCTACTGAGAGCAATGTTTATCCATAACGGAGTACTGAAAGGATAAGCTTATTATACCCGATATAGATAATCTTCTACCGGGATAATGTTTATCCATAACTGGGTACTGAAAGGATAAGCTTATTATACCCTGCATGGATAATCTTCTACCGGAGATAATATTTATCCATAATTGGGTACTGAAAGGATAAGCTTATTATACCCGGTATGGATAATCTTCTATCGGGATAATATTTATCCATAACTGGGTACTGAAAGGATAAGCTTATTATACCCGGTATGAATAATCTTCTACCGGGGTAATGTTTATCCATAACCGGGTATCGAAGTGATAAGCTTCTTCAGGAAGCTTATTTCCAATAGAGTACTTAAATAAATAAACATATTTACGGTGGAGTCTCATATGGATAAGCTTCTTCAGGAAGCTTGTTTATAACGGAGTACTAAATGAACATCCATAATATAATATATTTATAATACTCCCCCTTGGATGTTCATTAAAAGATAATGTGCCTCATTAAAACCTTACTATGAAAAAACACGTGGGAAAAAATCCTAGTGAAGGAAAAAGAGTATACATATTTAGTAATACGCATTGTTGACTGCCTCATTAAAAACCTTATAAGGAAAACCCTGTGGGAAAAACCTTGGTAAGGGAAAAAGAGTACAGCGCGCATTTTACTCCCCCTGAAGAAAACCTTATTTCAAATATTTGAGTCTCCGCATTCCAATCTTGTATACCATATTCTCAAAAATTGATGTTGGTAAAGACAATCTGTTGGATTGTCACTTGAACTAATTTGATGCACATCAATGTCACAATTTTCCTGAAGATCATGTATGTAGAATAATTCTGGTGAAATGTTCTTCGTTCTATCTCCTTTTATAAATCCTCCCTTTAATAGTGTTATACATGAAACATTGTCTCTGTATAATATTATGAGTCTTTTATCACATTCCAACCCACATGTTTCTCGAATGAATCACTGATCTCAATCATATGCACTCCCTGCTTGCCGGTTTGAAATCGAGCTTTATGGGTATCGGATAAATAACCTGCATCGGCATTATCAATACGATCTGCACCACTTTTGTTAGCATTAGCAAGATAAATAAGTGCATCATCTATACCGAGATAGAGTATTTCAGGACCAAGGAGCTCCTCATCCTCATCTAGAGGTTGGAACAGATCCTTATTCACTTCAAGTGATTGAATATTCATTGGTGTACTTAATAAGTACACTTTGTCCATGTAAAAGTATTTTTAAGACCCTCTTGGAGCTCTTCCGGAGTTACAATAAGATTTATGTCACCAACATAAACAGCAAGTGTAACAAATTTTGATGACATTTTCTTTATAAAAATACATGGACAAATAACATAATTTATGTAACTTTCTTTCAGCAAATATTTACTGAGGCGATTATACCACACGCGCACAGATTGCTTTAAACCGTACAAAGATCTTTATAATTTGATTGAGTACATTTCTCAAGACTTTGAATTATATGCTTCACACATTTTCAATCCTTCAAGTATCTTCATATAGATTTAGTCAAATAAGTCATATAGGTTAAGAC